GTTATTCAACAAATCGGATTCGACATACAAAAAAAAAATTTTTTTGTATGACGGATTCGATTCGTTCGAAAACCAGAATAGAGGTGAAAGTTTTTTTAGGTAGTGCAACATTTTTCTTATCGTACTACAATTTTTGTTTTGTAACACATTTTAAAAGTCGCGACATTAAATATACCGTGCAACATTTTTCATGTTGCGCAACATTTGTTTCAACACCAATCTGCGTCGCGCAACATTTATCATGTCACGTAAGTTTTTCATGTCATGCAAAATTTTCATGTCACCCAACATTTTCATGTTGTGCAACATTTTTCATGTCACGCAACATTTTTCATATGTGCAACATTTTTCATGTCACGCAACATTTTTCATATCACACAACATTTCTCGTATCACGCAACATTTTCGTGTCTTTCAAAATTTTTCGTGTCGCGCAACATTTTTCATGTCGTGCAACATTTTTCATGTCATGCAACATTTTTCGTGTCGCGCAACATTTTTCATGTCGTGCAACATTTTCCATATCATGCAACATTATTCATTTCGTGCAACATTTTCCATATCATACAACATTTTTCACACACAACATTTCTCGTATCACGCAACATTTTCGTGTCGCGCAACATTTTTCATGTCGTGCAATATTTTTCATGTCGTGCAACAATTTTCTCGTATCACGCAACATTTTCGTGTCGCGCAACATTTTTCATGTCGTGCAATATTTTTCATGTCGTGCAACAATTTTCTTGTTGCGCAACATTTTTCAGGTCGTGCAACATTTTTCATGTCGTGCAACATTTTTCTTGTCGTGCAACATTTTTCATGTCACGCAACATTTTTCATATCACACAACATTTCTCGTATCGTGTCGTGTCATATCGTGTCTTTCAAAATTTTTCGTGTCGCGCAACATTTTTCATGTCGTGCAACATTTTTCATGTCATGCAACATTTTTCGTGTCGCGCAACATTTTTCATGTCGTGCGACATTTTCCATATCATGCAACATTATTCATTTCGTACAACATTTTTCATGTCACACAACATTTCTCGTATCACGCAACATTTTCGTGTCTTACAAAATTTTTCGTGTCGCGCAACATTTTTCATGTCGTGCAATATTTTTCATGTCGTGCAACAATTTTCTTGTTGCGCAACATTTTTCAGGTCGTGCAACATTTTTCATGTCGTGCAACATTTTTCTTGTTGCGCAACATTTCTCATGTCGTGCAACATTTTTCTTGTCGTGCAACATTTTTCATGTACTGCAACATTTTTCATGTCATGCAAAATTTTTCGTCTCGCGCAACATTTTTCATGTCTTGTTGCGCAACATTTTTCAGGTCGTTCAACATTTTTCTTGTTGCGCAACATTTTTCGGTCGCGCAAAATTTTTCATGTCGTGCAACATTTTTCTTGCTGCGCAACATTTTTCGTGTTGCGCAACAGTTTTCATACATAATTTTTCATGTCGTGCAACATTCTTCATGTTACGCAACATTTTTCAGGTCGTTCAAAATATTTCATACTCGCAACATTTTTCATCCGGTGGTGTAGTAGTAAGCGTGATTACCTCTCACCCCAGCAGGCCTGGGTTCAATCCCAGTCGGCGCCGCCGGGATGTTCTGAGGCATAACATCTCTGATCACGCCTTCCTTCGGATGGGAAGTAAAGCCGTTGGTCCCCGGTTCATGAGTTGATGGGTCGATAGGTAGGGTCCAGGTGTGGGAGCTGCCTTCCTGGCACGTCGGTAGCATTGGTGCTCAGCACGGAAAACAAGATCGACGGAAAAAAACAAACCAAAGGAAAAAAAAAAAAAACATTTTTCATGTCGTGTGTGTGTGTGTGTGTGTGTGTGTACAATTCGGCAGTGTTATTATGGAAGAAAACTGCTTTTTATTACCCTTAAATTAAAGCAGGTTTAGTCCGGGAGTTAGAAGGTGTTAGGTGTTGCAGCTCCAGTGACCCATTTCAGAATGCCTGGTAATTCACGACCACTCCGAGGTCACAAGCCCCGCATGTTCACTCTACCTTTATCAAATGGATAATGGTATCATAAACACTTCCAGATTCAAAAAATATTATTTCCAAATCTGGCACGTATATAGTTTTAAAATTTGTTCAATTGTATTAAATCGATTTGAATGGACATTTTTTACCAATTTTGTTTCGAATACCTCTTGATTCATCTGCTGGCAGAACTTACTGGCCCTTACCGGCGACCAATTCGTCTGCCCGCAAAAGCAACAACGCCTAAATCTCAAAGCTCTCCGGACGTCCCCTCGAAAATGCAATCGAGATATGTATAAGAACAATCTTCAACTGGAACGTACTCACCAAATCAATACATCCGTTCCCGATGCTTATTTTTCTCTCGCATGCCCGTCGTCGTCGAACGGCAAAAAAAAGGAACTCGGTGAGCAATTTTGTGATACGGAATTTTCACTGAACATAAGCCGCGAATTTACGAATTTCACCACTCCCAACTGCGAAACACGTTCAGAAGCACTTTTGGTACACTTTCGATCAATTTCTTTCGAAAACACAAAAAAAGTTGCAAGCGAGCCAACATCAATACCCGAGTCAACACCGATTGTGCCGAACTCTTTCACGCACCTTGCAGCGCGTAAATATACTGAAATTAAAAATTATCACTCGCGATGCCACTAATTTCTGGTCCGGGAGAAAATCAAATAACGCAGATTGCGACATCTCTTCTGATGCTCGCAAACATGTTGAATGACGTTTTCTTTCTCTATTCTAAAACTTCCCGGAAAGCGTGCAACAATTTTCTTGTTGCGCAACATTTTTCAGGTCGTAAAACATTTTTCTTGGTGCGCAACATTTTTCAGGACGTGCAACATTTTTCTTGTCGCGCAACATTTCTCATGTCGTGCAACATTTTTCATGTCGTGCAACATTTTTCTTGTCGTGCAACATTTTTTATGTCGTGCAACATTTTCCATATCATGCAACATTATTCATTTCGTGCAACATTTTCCATATCATACAACATTTTTCATGTCACAACATTTCTCGTATCACGCAACATTTTCGTGTCTTACAAAATTTTTCGTGTCGCGCAACATTTTTCATGTCGTGCAACATTTTTCATGTCATGCAACATTTTTCATGTCATGCAACATTTTTAGTGTCGCGCAACATTTTTCATGTCGTGCAATATTTTTCATGTCGTGCAACAATTTTCTTGTTGCGCAACATTTTTCAGGTCGTAAAACATTTTTCTTGTTGCGCAACATTTTTCAGGACGTGCAACATTTTTCTTGTCGTGCAACATTTTTCATGTCGTGCAACATTTTTCTTGTCGTGCAACATTTTTCATGTAGTGCAACATTTTTCATGTCATGCAAAATTTTTCGTCTCGCGCAACATTTTTCATGTCTTGTTGCGCAACATTTTTCTTGTTGCGCAACATTTTTCAGGTCGTGCAAAATTTTTCATGTCGTGCAACATTTTTCTTGCTGCGCAACATTTTTCGTGTTGCGCAACAGTTTTCATGTCGCGCAACATTTTCCATATCGTGCAACATTTTCGATGTCGTGCAACATTTTTGATGTCGTGCAACATTTTTGATGTCGTGCAACATTTTTCATGTCATGCAAAAATTTTCATGTCGTGCATCATTTTTCGTGTTGCGCAACATTTTTCATGTCGTGCAACATTCTTCATGTTACGCAACATTTTTCAGGTCGTTCAAAATATTTCATACTCGCAACATTTTTCATGTCGTGCAGCATTTTTCGTGTCGCGCAACAATTTGCATGTCGTGCAACATTTTTATGTCGTGCAACATTTTTCGTGTCGTGCAACATTTTCCATGTCTTGTAACATTTTACATGTGGTGTAAAGGTACCAAAAATGCAAAAAAAATCGAAGCACGCTATACTTTTGATAGCCCCTCGGCTTAATCTTCGGACCCCCCGTCTTCCCAACCATCTTCTTAAAGTGAGGAATACGTATGCCAAGTTTGGTAGAAATCGGTCCATGCGTTCCAGAGTTATGCTGGAACATACATACAAACATACAAACATATCAACATACAAACATACAAACATACAAACATACATCCACTTTTATATATATAGAAGAAGAAGATAGAAGATAGAAGATAGATTTTTTCTCAACAGATGGCACCAACTCCGTTTTTATGAAACGCGGACCCAGTGAGGAAAATCAACTAATATTTTTCTCGCATATACACGGTAAGAAAAAGTCCCAACGGCCAGTTCACCTACTTACCTACTTTTGACTAGTTTGTCTCCTTTTCTCCTACTAAACGGACAAGCAAAACCACCCAACAGGGGTAGTAAAGTGTGGGAACTCAACGTTGAGTATAATCATATTTACCTACTGTTGGGTCCAACTGGTTAAAAAGCCAGTGGAAAATTCCATCATCATCTTCCAAAGGCACCCTTTTCAGGGCCACCAACATTTTCCAAAAGAGTTAATTTTCTGAACAACTAAAATTCATATCAAAAGGATCTTTTCAGGGCAATCATAGAGAACCCCACTAAAATTCCTATTCCTACACAAAACACAAGCTCTTGCTGCAGTTAACAAAAATATGTATTATATCATACCACGTAGTCCTACGTCATCATTGCGTACAACCCCATTGGGCTGTCCCTTCTAACCGTGTACACGCTCGTACAATGTTACTCAAAAGTGAGTAAAAAACTACTCTCTTTCGGTAAAAGTGGAACTACTCTAAAGTGAGTAAACCTATGGTTACTCACTTTTGAGTAATACAAGCATTTGTCAAAATCAGAGTAACTTTTACTCAGATTTTGATTGCGCCAAATAAGCCCAACTGAGTGAATGTTACTCACTTTTCGTAAAATTTGCCAATTTTCAATTTGAGTAAGATTTGGTGAGAGTTGGTGGTTGGAGTTGGTGGTTGGAGTTGGTGGTTGAGAAAAATATAAAAAATAAAACAAACAATTTTAATAAACGGTTACAAGATAAATCTACACATAAAAATTAAATGTTATCAGCATCTTCAGCATGTGCAGCTTCTTTGAATGCTGCGACAAGGCAGTTAACCGACGATCTTGAGCTATGACTCAAAGTTTTATACAGGACGCATTCAAAAAAATCCATTATCATGGCAAGCTGAGTGGGCACACGGAGTCCAAAAACTTTGAACACCTTGAAAAAAATATCGATTGCGTGAATAGCGTTCGGGACTTCAATAAAAACGTGTCGATTTAGGCTCTGAACCATTTGGTGGATTATTTTAACTTTTGGTTAAAATTTGACAGATGGAAAGTTATCGATTAACCCTGCTATCCGAGCGTGGTTATTTCTGACAGACAAGAAGTTAAATTTTGACGACCGTGGCTCGAAAACCGGTCGATCGACAGCACGGGGATTTTCGAACATAAGAAATAACTTTCGAAATGTCACTTTTAACTACGAGTTAAATTTAACTCGGCAAATGGTTCACAGCCTTACAACCACAAATAGCGGTCCAATTTTATATGGTTCTGAAATGCATGCAATGTGCGGTTGATCCTGGATAAGTGACGACATATGCTCGATAAGATCAGCGTTGGCGTTGTTTATGGGCTAAAATCAATGTTTATTTGTTATATTGTGACGGAATACGAACTATTTGTTTGTTTACTTTTATCCACTGAATGAATGGTGACGCCAACTGCTCTTCGGAGATCGCTAATGCCCCATCCACCTTTCTACGTTGTCCACGTACCGGCATTTTATGGAGCATCCGTAGGAAACCTCTGATGTATTCTGTAATTACAATAAAAGAAGGTCATAAGTTTTCATTTGTAGCCTAATAGTACGTTGATATCATGTAATATAAGCTAATTTGATATCAAATGTCATATATGTATGTTTTTTTGTGACAATTTGTCTTATATGAGTGCTCATTGCAATTTAGTATTTCACTATATAGTAATTTAGCATAATTACCATCCTCAACTTGCGTGAACTTGTTAGTTGAATACAGCAGGCATTTAGATAAAACTCCCTGATAGTCCGTGTTAACCTCCGATGACGGAAAGAGCAGCTTGAACGATTTATGAATCTGAGAAAAAAAAAATATACATATGTTGCAATTTTGGAGAAAAATAACACAAAGATTTTAAAGCAAACTAATTTTCGCTAAACCTTTCTAATGCATTAGGAGAAAAATACAGTTTTTCCCGGACAAAAATGACACCAATGCACTAGGAAGGTTAAAGAATTTACGTTATACATATAGCCTATTTTTAAATAGGGAAAGCTACAGTACTTCTTTAGCTATTATCGTCAAGGGAGTAAGCGAGCATCCGTTAAGTACGAGGAAAAGGGGGTTTGCAAACGGTTGACAAGGAGGGGTAGGGGCTGATTATCTCTAAATTTTGCAAAACGTAGTTAGTGCATCTGCCTAAAAAAGTCTTCATTTTTTTTTAGCAAAACAACGCTCTGGAATATGATGCATGCCAAAACAAAACAGTGCTTAAAAACTTTAAAAAAAAAGTGCCGAAGCCGTCATTTCCTCTAATAAAAGTGAAAACGATTTTATAGTGAATGTTATACCCCGTACATACTATAGCAGATATTACGTATAAGCTGTCTTGCTATGAGCACTCATACATAGGATTTCCAGTGAAAATTAGTTTTATGAGTAATTATTGCAAGACAGGCTTATTACGTAATATAAGCTATAGTCTGAACGGCAAGCTGCACAGGGTATTACGAAAAATCTAAAAAAAACCATTCTCTAGCTAATAAATCATCACACTAAAGCTTCATGTTAGCATTCCCAACCAACTCTAAAAAAAGGTTATTACCACATATCCATTGTAGGCTTGAAGATGCGGGAACATTTGTATTATTTCAGTAATGCTTTTTTTCTCATTGAGCATGAGCTTTAATAATGGGAAGCACTTCTCCATTTCAGCACAAATTCTCTTTTTCTCGGATTTTGTTGGTTCTACTGTACGCAGGATTTCAGCTTTATTCAAAAGCTCGGTTGGAATAAATGCCTCGACAGTATTAGTTACTGATCGCTTATACTTGTGCATGTCTGATGGTAGCATTTTAATGCAGTTTCGAATACGGTGGTATACCAGACCGCTGTGTTTCCCTTTTTCCAATCCATTATTTCGCCAGAAAAAAATCCACTGCAAAATATTATAAGTTAAGCATTAAACATTAATCAACCCATTTAAACATTTACTGCATCAGGAGCTCCTTGAGGCCTTTCATTAGTACATTGAAGCTGTGGGAATAGCTCAACAATGTCGTTTGACAATTTCTCTTGCTCGTCTGTAGATGGATATCTGTAATGAAATTAATATAATAAAATCATGAAACATAAACAGGTTAATTAACTTTTGTGGAAAATCGTGTACAGTCGACTCTCCATATCTCGATGTTCTATACATCGGTGTGCGATTCATTTTTCTATGTTTCGATGCTTATCTAGCTAAACATGTAAGGAGAAATTATTCAAAACATATCGAGCAAGAGAAAAGTCGAATTGGGGAGATAGTAATGCTTGTAAAAAGTTACATTGAAAATCAACAAGTTATAGAATATTAACTAAGGGTGAATGAACAGTTACTGTATTAGAGTTTAAAATATTGTAGTGTTTAACCTTCTTTTATAATGAAATTTTCATTAATAATTTAGAGTAAGTAGTATTTTTTTTTTCTTTTGTTTTGTTTTTTCCGTCGATCTTGTTTTCCGTGCTGAGCACCAATGCTACCGACGTGCCAGGAAGGCAGCTTCCACACCTGGACTCTACCTATCGACCCATCAACTCATGAACCGGGGACCAACGGCTTTACTTCCCATCCGAAGGAAGGCGTGATCAGAGATGTTATGCCTCAGAACATCCCGGCGGCGCCGACTGGGATTGAACCCAGGCCTGCTGGGGTGAGAGGTAATCACGCTTACCACTACACCACCGGCGCCGTTGGAGTAGAGTAAGTAGTACGCGTTGTTCATAATTTGCACAGTATCCTATGTTACATTATGCAAACAAAATGTATCACTTACTTTTGACCGTCTTGGATCCTTTTTACGTGAAATTGACATGCTATCCTTGTAAGGAAGTTGAGATCATTTTTGTCAGGTACGTTTCCTTGATCCAGCACCGGTAGCAATACATTCAGACTGAACTTTTTATCCGCTTCAAACAATTCTCGACAAATCTGTAGAGTTAAAATTAAGTAAATTAGAAGAAAAACGCAATACAGACTGAAGAGTTATAACATGTTATAACGGTTGTCAAATAATTGTAACACAGAAACCAACATCAAGATAGCGCTATAACATGTTATAACTCTGTAGTCTGAACGTACTATTATATAATATATATTTTAATTGAATATATCTAGCGTTCTGAACTATAAGGGCCTAACTGCAATGATCGATTCTCTTCATCGATTTTCCCTTCGCATTTCCACAGTTTGTGAACTAAATTTTTGAAATTATTACGATACAGTGTAGTGAAAGGTTGTATTAGTTAGCAAAAGCAACATCATAATTAAAAAAAAGAGAAAATCTAAGAAGAGAATCGATCATGGCACTTAGTTCCTTATGATTCTGAACGCTAGATGTGTTGAGTATGGATTTATTCAAATTGGGGGGTAAGGTAAATTGCCTCTGAAATTATGAAAACACTTGTATAGACCAAAGATTTTACCTGTTTTGTTGATTGTGGTGGTTCATTCTCTTCTTGGCCGTGGCTGAAAGCTTTCAGGTTTTCAATTATCTTCAGGATCACAATTCGAGGTCCTTTCTCTGCGATGCCGATGTCAATCAAATCATTGTATTCTAGAAGCATCAACGATGTATCGTTGATTTTGTGTACTATGAAATATAATAAAAAATGTATGATGACCTTAAATATTTATAGAAAGTACCCCCCTGTAAAAAATACCATTAGGCTGATGCAAATATTATTTTCATTTTACGTCTGGTAACACTCACGTAGGTCGAAAAAAAAGGACAATTTTTTAAATAAATAATAACAGTATCCCCCGCTAATCCGACAAAATTGTGGCCAGATTATCAGGGTTGACCCCGTTAATCCGACTGTCAAACCTGGAAATACTCAGAGGGAGAGATGGGCGGAGAAAACCAAATACAATTTGGCAGCCTCGTCGGTAGCACGGTTTTGTATGTGAATTATCTTCGGATTGCCGGGATTCTGATTAACGAGTGTTGGATTAGCGGGTGATACTGTACATAAAAAATCACGTAGTTTTAGCGCAGAGCCAGCGAAGATTTTGAAAATGGCTGAGAGTAGTGTTTCAGTGACAATGTTTTACAGTGAAAAATACTCAAAGTGTTATGTTTATTTGTCTGCGTAACAACCTTCTTATATTATAAGTTTCCCATTTACCATAGAAACATTGTGGTTGTCACTTAACGAGTATAGATGAAGTAATTTTTTTTTCTTATTATTTTTTATTCAAAAGAGTTTGATTGTACAGAAAAATTAATATATATCTTGATTTCGAATGGTGTTTTAACTAAATAACAAAACTTAACTAAATACTTAACTATTCATCATATACTTCAAACTAATAAAACTTGCATTATCATTTGGGAGCTGCCACAAACTATAAGTCTTTCTGGTAAATAGCTTTTCAGTCGATATACGAACTATCTTACCTGTATGTTGAACATTATAACTGTTATATGTTTCATAAAATGCAACACATTTCAACTCTTCAATTAGATATACAATAGTTTCATTACCTGCTACTATCAGTTTCGTCACTCCATAAAATATTTCTCCACACAATTGATATTTAATTATTAATCCTGGACGGACGCTGGTACCATTGATTTTCATGTGTTTGATTGATTTGATTTGATCCGGAAAATCAAAAAGTAACACAGTATATTCTGAGGTCTGTTTTTGAATGTCTGTAGAGGACAGTATAATGATATCATTCAATACGTAAGTATGATTTAATATGGCATGAACTTGTTTTAGATTCAATCGTTTGGTTAAACTGAAAGATAAATTTACAAAATTATTGCATGTCTTTGTCTGTCGCTTAGTCTCTTTGAATTTGGCCTCATACAACATGCAAGAAAAGTTAACCACAGGACCCTCACTGCGAATTATTGAAGGATAATGAACAAGATGATGCATTTTATTGATAAAATTAACCAAAGGAAAGCAAATTCTGAAGAGTTGATGGAAGTTTTGTATTTCCTGTTCTAGGGTGCAAATCTGTGCATGGTTGAGTTTATTTGAAAATACAAAAAAAGTTATTTTTAGTAACGAGCCTACTAAACAAACATAATTTGTATTACTTGAAAGAGCCCTGCTAAACAAAAATGGAAACGCTCTCAGAAATGTCCATGTCTGAGAAGCAGACTGAGAAATTTTATACCCTGGTGGCTTCAAACTCTTTGCTGTAAAATTTGGAGAGGGTTTGTCTCGAGACTCAGCGATTCCATAATTAAATGCAATAATTACTCTGTTAACCTCATCTACCGAAATATGTTTTTTATTATTTACGACATCGTTAAGAATTAACTTGATCACCATGGGTACTACACCCTCGAGGATATCGTGCATTGGGTCTAAAGTGTTATTAGTCGCAATGTTAAAATACTTAAGCTCGTGAAGCGCGCAGTCACCCACAATGCCTAACTCCGATGGTAACTTCGATTTATTCTGAATAGCCTGCAAATCTAATTGAATACTTTCTGGTGTTCTCATAGGAAATGAATCTCCAGATCTTCCCTGGTGTAGTGCATTTCGCGGCATGTAGCACATACGGCAGAACCTCGCTTGGGGTCCCATAAGGCAGAAAATATCGTGAATGGCTAGCGTGTCACCAACCACATGGACTAGGATGGCACGCAAAACGAAGTTCTCACCATTACCAACTTTAATGTTAACACCAGAGTCTGACTCTAGTTGGGAAAGATCTGTTATTAAAGGGCGGAGAACTTGCTCGTAACCATATTTTTTCAAATCTTTTGCGCAAACGGTAAGTGTTAAATAAATGTTCACAACTGAGTCGAGGTTCTCAACTTTGAAGCTGAAAATTGTCATTTTCTTAACTCCTTTACGAGACCCTAAAGGATTCTGATGCTCAACATCATCAAGATGTAAAGAAAGCCTCAAAGCATTGGGATGGGCTTTGAGAAATGGATGGTGCTGGAACCGAGAACCATCTTTGAATCCACGCAGAAATCCTTCCTCAGATTTTTCATTTGAAACCATCTCTCTTGCACGTTGGTTTTGCATGATGAGCGCCAACGTATCCTTGATAGGAACATAGTGAGCAACGTTCTTGGCTATCTTGGTTTTCCTGATGATTTGTACAGGACGACGACGACGGTGATCTCCAGTTTTCGGAGGATTTTGAGTTGTGGTGGTTATTCTGCTTCGGCCCAAAATCACTTCCCTCGCAAGTGGGATGGCATACTTAGCAATCTTGGACAGGTGGGCCAGATTGTCTTGCGGGGTACGAACATCCGAAAAAACACTTTTTGGGGACATGTTGTTCACCGTATTCACAGCATGAATGTCGTCATACGGAATAAATTTCAATCTCAGGAATGCCTTGAAGATTCCCATAAAATATAGCTCGTATTGCCCAAGAAGCTGAGATGCAGCTTCAACAAATTCTTGAATTTTAGTTTCGGGAACAGAAACATCGCAACGCATTTTGGTGATGAAACTGTTGACGGTTCCGGCTAGTTGTTCGACGTTTATGGGACTTTTAAAAAACATTTCGTACGAAATTTTAGAATAATCTGGTTGCAAGCCAGCTTCTTCTGAAGCATGCGAGCCAGGCCCGATGGATTCTACTCCCACATGAACATTTCGTTCTTTTCCCCCTTCCGATGCCGGAGGATGGTTCTTTATTATGTGCCGCTTTAATGTTTTGAACCGGGTGTATAAACACCCACATTCGGAGCATTTAAACGGAATATCAGCAGCATTGCTGGTATTCAAATTATGCAAATGTTGATAGTGGGATTTCAGTTCTCCCACATATCCTGGAACAAATATTTGACACGCGGGGAGGTGGCAGCGAAAACCTTGTAAAGATTTAATGAACTGCATTTCTGTTTAAATGTTTAATTTTCGTTACCTTTCAATTTGCGGAACGAATCCGAATCCACCACTGCAGCTACTTGCTCCATTCTTTTTTTTATCAATTTCTTTCTTCAAGCTTTGAAAATGTTTAATTGATCACTTTTGTCACCACGTATTTGACAGACGCATGGTGAGTAACATTTATACAGCATTGCTCAAAAGTGAGTAAACATTGATTTTAGGCAAACAGAGTAGTAGGTACTCACTTTGCTAAATCAATGTTACTCACTTTTTGACATTTTGCACAAAAATACCAAACTGAGTAGAAGTTACTCACTTTTGAGTAACATTGTACGAGCGTGTAGGTTCTAAAACTGGATTGGGCCCATTGCTAAAAATCTGCAATTTATCATATATCTAGACGAAAGCGTCATTTGGTCGGTACTAATGGAAAATTTAGTCGATGGCATTACATCCATTTCCCGTAGATAACATTTTTTGTCAACAGACGACGCTTCACCTTCAGAAAGCGACAGCTGTTGTGTATTTGCAGTATTTCATGCTCAAATTCGCATGTGATTCGTGAAAACTCAATTTTCAAACATTACACCAAATTTCAATCGCTGAAAATCAGCAAAATTTAGCTTGATGAAAGATCAATCAATTAATCGATTAACGAACCGAAAAGTAAAATATTTATAATCATCACCGATCGTTTCAAACATGTGCTGCACTCTCATTGGTGGAAAAATGACAGCACACAGCAAAAAAAAAATGTAATATCGATCAACGTAATTCAAGCTGATGTATGAAATAATGCTGTAATAGCAAAAAGCAGATACAATATTACATCAATGGATGTAATTTTGTTCGCAAAATCGATGTACATCGTACAATGTGATATTACACAACCGATGGATTGACCTGGTTGCAGCAGTTTCGATGTAATATTCAACAACTTTTTTTGCTGTGCACGGTGAACAAAAAATAATCGATTAAGCCTGGCACGCAGCTGAAAAGTAATGACGTTTTTATGTGCTACCGGATAGGACACGGAATGCAAAAAAAAATTACTTTTCCTCAGCATTTCTTGACCCAGTACGCAGTTCAAAAGAAATCGGTAAAGGAAAGATCGATTACATTAGTATCGTGATCGACATGAAGGTGGCGCATTCTGAATGCAATTTCACTTTCCTTGCGGAATAATGGTCTGATCAATTGGTTCTTTAAGGGTATTGAGGTAAATGCATATTCGTAATCTGCATTAAAAATGGAACCCAAACCCAAAATTTCATCAATTTAGGTACACTGGAACTATTTTAAATAAGTACGATTACATTTACAAAAATCACCTTATTAGCGCCCTTCGGTGTCACTTTGTATGGGAACGAGCTGTCAGTTTGTTAGTTTAGTGTCAAACAGTGAAGTTATTATGTTGCTTTAAATCTTGATTTAAAAATCGAGATGAAAGTGTGTGGGTTCGAAAAAAATATCGCTGTGAAAACGAAAAAATATCGCTGAGAAAACGAAGCTCTTTCAGATGATGTATAAACAACGATACATGTTTCAAAATTAAAGAACCCAATTATTCCGTTAGGTAATGTTGGCGTTTATTGCAAAACTGATGTTTTGGATGCATTTAAACAACATAAACACTAATAAGTGTTGATTTTACAATTTGACGACATCTCCCTATAATCTCAAAATTTAGCAGACTATAGCTGTCAAATTTTCTTTTGGGAAAAATCCTCAAAAATTACTTTTCCGTTTTCTTTTCAGCTGCGTACCAGGCTTTAGTTGTTAATCGAGTAATTAAAAAATGCGACATCTCTGATTTTGGTGTGATTGTTATGATAAAAAAGTGCGCAAAATTTCATCTCTACCAAGGGGGCAGCAAAACCACAAAATTACCTTACATACGGGGGGTATTCATTGGATGAAAGGGACCGTGAAAGAGGACACTAAAATAGAAAATTTTTCTTCCAACAGTTTCATCTTTGGTATCATTGTGCTTGCCACACAATATACAAATTCATGCATTGGTAATTGGCATCGAAAGCTCTCGATTAATAACTGTGGAAGTGCATTTAGAACACTAAGTTGAGAGCACGCAATAAGCAAATATGTGCTAAGCAATAAGTTTGAAATGCGCAAACCATACACACTTAATCACGGTTTCCTTGTTCGGTAATTTTTTTTACAGTTTTCGAACTGTAAATCACAAAAACTACCGCACATTCAGCTGTTCTCAATAAAATTACTGACGTTCATTAGTTTTTGCAAGAAACTACTGAATGCGGCAATAGTTATCACTGAATTGACCGTTAAATAACAGTTTTACGGGAAATGACTAAAACTCAGTAAAATAGAACACCGAGTTTTCAGTACTGATTATGTTTTACTGAAACAATCATCAAACGAAATTCCAAAATTACTGATCACACTTGTAAATTGGACTCCTTTACGTCATTCTCCTCCGTTCCATCTCGCGCACTTGACTTCAGAAATTTGTGTGTGAAAACAGCAACATGTTTGTGAAAATTAGTTAAACGACTGGAAGTCAACGCAGAAGTGCAAAATCATACGAAATCGGGCAGTTTCTGCACTCCTGCATCGGCTTCCAGATGTTCCATTGAATTTGCAGCAAATTTCAATTGTGTGTAGCAGTGCTCCAGACTTACGCACGCAATCCGGCACTTCAAGAAAGCAACCAGCCGGCTGAACCACGAGGAAGTATTAAGCTGGACTATAGCTCAAGATTAGTTTAAACAGCATCATTGCTATTATGCCTCTAAACAAATAAACCTGAATCCTCTAATAAAAATCTTAAAATATCCGAAATATTTTATTTATTACTTATTGATTTTTATTCATCAAAATACTGGAAAACTCACCAAAAATAATGTAAACAAATAAATTACTGAAAAAATCAGCAATTTTTTTACTGACTAAAACGGTAAATTTTGACGTTTCAGGGATTTTTCCATTTACCGAGTTTTCAGGTAAACCAAAAACTACTGAGTTGATTGCTGAAAACTCAGCTGTTTAAAAACCCAGTTAAATTTTACCGACGTCGGTAATCTAAACTCTGTGTGTAGTTTAGTATTTTTATACCCATTATTGGTTCTCGTGAAATACCGTGTAGCGATGTGCAAATTTTCACAAGTTTTCCTGTGGAAAAACTCAAAATCTGCCGGAAAATGAGTAAAATCGACTAAAATTTTACTCAGCTAGGAGTAGTACACGGCGAATGAGACAACCCAAATTTGAGTTTAGTTCACTCATAATCGCCAAAAGTGCAGGAACTCAGCGATGAGTAAAATTTGTGGAAAACCTAAAAAATCTGCTGGAAAATGAGGAAATTGGTACACGGTAAGAAAAAAGTCCCAACGGAAAGTTCACTTTTACCTACTTTTGACTACCCTAATAAAAATTGTATGGTTAATTTGCTTAACGACGTGTTCTGGGTATCATCCAAACCATTTATGGAATAGTTCAATGATTTGGGTTATCGTTCGTTTATGGTTATTTTTTATTAGGGTAGTTTGTCTCCTTTTCTCCTTCTAATGTTGTCAAAAACGGAGCAGCAAAACCACCCAACAGAGGTAGTAAAGTGTGGGAACCCAACGTTGAGTATAATCATATTTACCTACTGTTGGGTACAACTAACTTACTTTTGGTTAAAAAGACAGTGGAAAATTCCATACGAACTGCACACAAGTAAATGAAAATTACTTTGACCCGCTTTACCCATGGTGGGTATATAAATGGTGATACAGCTTTCTCTCTATATAGGCGAGGAGGTCGCGGGGGGGAAAAATGCGGTTTTAGAGCAAATTGTAAACAAACTCGGTCGCTGTCCCATACAAAAATCCAACATGGCTGAATCACGAATTTGACACATTAGAACACCTATATGTAGCCACCTTGGCTTTACCTACTTTTGGGTTCCTGCACTATAGACGAGTGCACGGATGGATTTGAGTTCACTCACTCGACAAAAAGTGACACAACAGCGGGGCCCTGTTTACTAAAAATGAACACATGAATAATACTCACGTAACATTTGAAACGGGCCTATCAACTTTAGTTCACAAAAACTTGTTGAGCCTTTTTCGCGCGAACCGAATACGCCCACGCAAACCAACAACACCATCGGGTAGGGAAAATTCTCCCCTTCCCGATAGTGCTCTTGGTTTGCGTGCGCGTCCTTCGTTTATGGTGGAAAAGACCTAGCAAGTTTTTTTTTACAAAAGTTGAGCGGCCCTTTTCAAATGTTACGCGAGCATTATTCATGTGTTCATTTTTAGTAAACACAAACAGAGCCCCGCTGTTGTGTCACTTTTTGTCGAGTGAGTGAACTCAAATCCATCCGTGCACTCGTCACTACACGCTAAGCCCGGGCTACCTATTTTTTGGGTAAAAGTGTCTCATTTTCAAGTTTACTTCCACGAACTCAAAAATAGGTAACTTTTGACAGTTCAAAAGTTACCCATTTTTGAGTTCGTAGAACTGAACTTTCCGAATGGGTAATCGACTTAGCCTCTCGTCAAGCTCGTCCTCATTCGCCAAGACGCAATAGCCTAGAAAAATCGAAAGTTTAAGAGCTCGTTTAAGTTGCTGTTTTTTCCTCGGTTTTTTCATGAAAAATTGTAGTGCAAAATTGTTTATTGCTGATTAATTGTATTAATAGTGTTGTTTTTCGTAAGTATCGATATAAATATGCTATAGTGAAGTTGGTGCTAATCAATTATTGCTGATGAAATCGGAACAAAATCCACAAGAATCGTCACCATTCCAATGGCGGCGATTTCTACATTGTTTTCGACACGTTTTGCCTCCAAGGAAACAATAGGCTGTATAAATAAAAGTTTCCATAAATCAAATTTTCTTTCTATTCTGACAATAGCTCAGGATCTGGACTCTCGTTACAGCTGCTTCTCACGATTCGGACTACTCTTGCTACCGTTGACGATCCGACCCGGATGGCTGAAACTACCGCTTTCGATCCGTACTGCTACTGCTGCTTTTTGCTGGATGTTGAAGCTGCCGGCTCGCGTATACAGGGCCGCTGTTTTAATTACTGATACGTGTTCCTGCTGCTTCT